ACCTAAGTAGAGAGTTTGTGCTAAAGCTTAAAGACTGCAACCCTGGTGTATAAAGTTCCCCTGAATATACACTCCAATTAGAAGTAGTTGTAAGTATATTTTCCAAGGCACAAAGGAAGGCAGAGAGGGTAATGATACAAAGTTGTCAGAAATTCTTATTGTTTTATATAAATAACATTGATTAGTAATTGCCTATACATTGTTATGCTATAGGGTGTGGGTTATAGAGTCGAGTGTGACATTATTGGCTTGCAGCAAGAGCAACCAATTTTAAAAAATAGTTTTTTTTTCTTTTTGAGACAGAGTTTAGCTCTCTTTACCCAGGCTGGAGTGCAATGGCGCGATCTCGGCTCACCGCAACCTCCGCCTCCTGGGTTCAGGCAATTCTCCTGCCTCAGCCTCCTGAGTAGCTGGGATTACAGGCACGTGCCACCGTGCACAGCTAATTTTTTGTATTTTTAGTAGAGACGGGGTTTCACCATGTTGACCAGGATGGTCTCGATCTCCTGACCTCGTGATCCACCCACCTCAGCCTCCCAAAGTGCTGGGATTACAGGCGTGAGCCACCGTGCCCGGCCCAAAAATAGTTTAAAGAGGAGAGCAGACTATAACTCTGGTCTCATTTTAACATATCTCTGGGTCTGATAATTAAAATAACTTGTATTTCTCAAATAAAAGTTCTTTTCTTCCCTCAAATCCCAGGATGTGAATTCAGAATTTGGAACTACACATTTATGTCTTAGCAGCCTGGTAAGCTAGGAACGTTTGTGAGCATTTGGACGAAAGGAGGGAGGACGGTAAATTCTCATGTTTAATCAACGCGCATGTGTGAGCCTCGCTGGAGATCTGGGACCCTGTGATCCTTGAATCCGTGTCAGACCTGAAGATGGCAGGAGCACTGAAAGGGCAGAATAATTGATTGCTGTTCTAAAGAGTTATTTTTGCAGAAACCTAGTCTAACTGCTCCAGAAGGGACTGTGGATCTTAAGTAGAAGGAGAAACCATTGTTTACAGATTTGGGGAGCACTTTGCTGCACAATTATGGGTTGTGACTGGGAACCTGAGAAAGAAAGACCCCTCTAAAATCAAACCTGCTGGGCACCTTGTGTATAACCTCTGGTAATTCTGGACAGTGTGTGGAAAATACTAGAAACAAAAACATCTCTAACCCTAAAAAAGTCTTAACAATAATAGAACAAGAAAACTATTTTGTCATATTAAACGGAAATGTAATATGTATCACAAGCAATCTGCTAAGAAAGGTCACCAAAATTAGTTTCCAAGTGGAAGACTTGACAGCAGCATTCGTCATTCATAGTTTATAATCATTTCACCTAGTAATCTGGGAGGTCATCTGGGTTTTCTAATTGGTAACATTCAAAGAAAAAACAAAATTTTTGCCAGGCATGGTGGCTTAGGCCTGTAATCCCAGCACTTTGGGAGGCCAAGGTGGGCAGATCACCTGAGGTTGGGAGTTCGAGACCAGCCTGACCAACACTGAGAAATTCCTGTCACTATTAAAAATACAAAATTAGCCAGGTGTGATGGTGCATGCCTATAATCCCAGCTACTCAGAAGGCCGAGGCTGGAGAATCCCGGGAGGCGGAGGTTGCGGTGAGCTGAGATCACGCCATTGCACTTCAGCCTGGGTAACAAGAGCAAAAGTCTGTCTTAAAAAAAAAAAAAAATTCACATCTTCATGACAGAAAGTACCTTTGCAATGTAGAGCCATGTACCTGCTGAAGGGAGCCTCCTACTCTCCTGCACAAACTGTGGAGTAGATAGGATGCATATTCTTGCTATTTACATTTTGGAACAGCTTCCAGTTCCTAAAGGCAATTCTGAGTCAAAAAGACAAATGAAATGTTCAAGTAACACAAATGATTTACATATATATTTCAAAGAAGCAGAGGAAATATTTAAATATAAAAGTTTTCAAATTAAGTGCCTTATGAAACTAGAAAACAGCAAAAATCTTCCCTTATTTTAAAGAGAAAGCATTAAGCCTCTTCCTAATTTGTATCTCTACTAAAAGTATAAAAATCAGCTGGGCGTGGTGGGACGCACCTGTAGTCCAGGTACTTGGAGGCTGAGGTTGCAGTGAGCTGAGATCACGCCACTGCACTCCAACCTGGGCAAGAGTGAGACTCCACCACAAAATAAACCAACAGCCGGGCGCGGTGGCTCACGCCTGTAATCCCAGCACTTTGGGAGGCCGAGGCGGGTGGATCACGAGGTCAACAGATCGAGACCATCCCGGTCAACATGGTGAAACCCCGTCTCTACTAAAAATACAAAAAATTAGCTGGGCATGGTGGCGCGCACCTGTAATCCCAGCTACTCAGGAGGCTGAGGCAGGAGAATTGCCTGAACCCAGGAGGCGGAGGTTGCAGTGAGCCGAGATCGCGCCATTGCACTCCAGCCTGGGTAACAAGAGCAAAACTCCGTCTCAAAAAAAAAAGAGAGAGAGAAAAAAAAGATTGCAAATCAACAACCTAACTTTCTCCCTTAAGAAACTAGAAGGCCGGGCGCGGTGGCTCACGCCTGTAATCTCAGCACTTTGGGAGGCTGAGGCAGGTGGATCACGAGGTCAAGAGAGCGAGACCATCCTGGTCAACATGGTGAAACCCCGTCTCTACTAAAAATACAAAAAATTAGCTGGGCATGGTGGTGCGTACCTGTAATCCCAGCTACTCAGGAGGCTGAGGCAGGAGAATTGCCTGAACCCAGGAGGCGGAGGTTGTGGTGAGCCGAGATCGTGCCATTGCACTCCAGCCTGGGTAACAAGAGTAAAACTCCGTCTCAAAAAAAAAAAACGAAAGAAAGAAAATGGGAGGTTTTGGGTCCATTCGTGCTGAGAGGCCTCCGGGGAAAAAAATCTATTTTTTTAGGAGCTCAATGGCTCAAAGTCAGCTTCATTAAAAGCTAACATCCAACATGTGTATATGTGTGTGTACATGTTTGTATTTAAAAGGCATTCATGTTTTTATCTCCTAAGACCTTGCCTTTGTGACAAAAATTTTCTCTTCTCAGATTGACTGAATTCTGTTTTCTTCATTAATAGCTATTACAACAGAAGCTACTCTGGGATTTTTTTTTTTTTTTTAGATAGTTTCTTTCTTGTTGCCCAGGCTAGGGTGCAATGCCATGATTTTGGTTCACTGCAACCTCCACCTCCCAGGTTCAAGCGATTCTCCTGCCTTAGCCTCCTGAGTAGCTGAGATTATAGGCACACACCAACACACGCGCCTGGCCTTGGAAAAAAAATTTTAAGTGCACTGTAAAAGCATCACATTGTCTAGTCTCATAATTCTCCCTTTTTGAAAACCCGGGATTCAGTGTGTGCTCTGCTATGTAATTTTTGTTTGATCTGGCATCCATCTTTAATCTCCTAGCACCACCAGACTTTCTGTGTGCCTCAAGATGTAAATCTTGCCCTTTGATTTTCACCTAAGAGTCGTTTCCTTTCATATGCAAATTTAGGGCTACGTAGCTGACAACGGCCAGAGTAATAAACCAGGTCATCAAGAGTTTGAAAATCTAAGATAGGAAAAAGGAGGTCTTATGAATCTATGAAATGTACTTCTATTGGCAAGGCTAATACGTCTAAGTATTTATGTCTTGTATACCCCATATTTCACTACCGAAATATATAAGAGCTCTAACTAGGCTGGGTGCCGTGGCTCAGGCCTATAATCCCAGCACTTTGGGAGGCCGAGGCAGGTGGATCACGAGGTCAAGAGATCGAGACCATCCTGGTCAACATGGTGAAACCGTCTCTACTAAAAAACACAAAAATTAGAGGGGCATGGTGGCGCACGACTGTAGTCCCAGCTTCTCGGGAGGCTGAGGCAGGAGAATTGCTTGAACCTAGGAGGTGGAGGTTGCGGCGAGCAAACATTGTGCCATTGCACTCCAGCCTGGGTAACAAGAGTGAAATTCCGTCTCAAAATAAATGAATAAATGAGCTCTAATTGGCTCAAGTAAATAAAAGCACTTATAAATGTATAAATATATAAAATAAATTTATTATATAAATATACATTTATAAATATATTTTTTGAGACGGAGTCTCACTCTGTTGCCCAGGCTGCAGTGCAATGGTGTGATCTTGGCTCACTGCAACCTCCACGTCCCAGGTTCAGGCCAGGCTTGAGCCACCTCACCTGGCCAAAAATAGGTAACATTTTAAAAATATTTATTCAGAACTCAGAATTTCCTCAGGATTTATGTATACTTGTATATAATTTTTATTATAACCATAAAAATGACCGTGTAGTCAATGAAGATTGTACATTCTGAAGTATCTAAAAGTGTAGAATTGGTTTGTTAATACAAAGGAGAAATGCTGGAGTTGATGGATACTTCTTTTTGCCCTGTGATTAATACATAAAATCATATGCCTGTATCAAATGCCATACATGCCATCATTTTTGTATCCACAAAAATTAAGAGAAATACATTTAAATAAAAAACAGAACAAAAAATCTAACCTATGGAAACATTTTTTTTTTTGAGATGGAGCCTTGCTCTGTCACCCAGGATGGAGTGAACGGTCGTGATCTCAGCTCACTGCAACCTCCACCTCCCGGGTTAAAGCGATTCTCTTGCCTCAGCCTCCAGAGTAACTGGGACTACAGGTGTGTGCCACCACGCTCAGGTAACTTTTTGTATTTTTAGTACAGATGGGGTTTCACCGTGTTAGCCAGGATGATCTTGATCTCCTGACCTTGTGATCTGCCTGCCTTGGCCTCCCAAAATGCTGGAATTACAGGTGTGAGCCACTGCACCCAGGCTCTTTAACTTATTAGTTTAAAGCCACTAGCAAAAATAATTATTAGAAATATTAGTCCATCATGTTATCAAATAGCATACAGTTACCCTCATTTACCTAAACCCTTGAGTAAGGGGGGATGGGTAAAAGTTAGTGGCATAAAAACACTTCATTGAATGCACAATGGCCTTAACAAGTTAAAAAAAAAGTTTAAGTTCACACACAATTTAAAAAGTTTTAAACATAACGCATTTTATTACATACAAGTACAATAAGTAAAATGATATATTACAAATTAATCTTAACTAAGATTAAAAATAATGTTTTCTTACTATAATGCAGAAGAATAGCACTCTGAATGCCTTCCTCATGGACCACTCAATACTGTAAGTTAAACACAAAGAGCCTCTCTCCACAGGTTTTTATCATGCATCTTACAGTAATGTCCTTACTCTTTCATAGAAAGTATCCTGACTAATGCCCACCTAACAGAAATGACTTCTTATCTCTGATGCAGGAACAATTAATTATCACATGCTTTCACATATGAACACAAGAGGAATAAACAGCATTAAGCGATTTGAGAGTTGAATTACATATTTGCTTTTCAAAAACAATTTTCTCAAGAGAAAAATATAATTTGAAGGTAATTATAAATCTACAAAAAATGTTCTACTTCTTTTAAGGTTATATACAATTTAACTACCAACTTAAGTTTTAAATTATTTTCTATTCTCGGCATTCTGTTTAAGTGCAATGTCTGAAGTGTCAGTACCTTAGATGATATTTCTACTGTGAATTCTTTTTTTTTTTTTTTGAGATGGGAGTCTTGTCTGTAGGCTAGAATGCAATGTCATCATAGGCTCACCACAACCTCTGCCTCCCGGGTTCAAGTGATTCTCCTGCCTCAGCATCCTGAGTAGCTGAGATTACAGGTGCATGCCACCACGCCCAGCTAATTTTGTATTTTTAGTAGAAGCACGGTTTCACCATGTTGGCCAGGCTGGTCTTGAACTCCTGATCTCAAGTTATTTACCCACCTTGGCCTACCAAAGTGTTGGGATTACAGGCGTGAGCCATCGTGCCACGCCTGAATTCGCTGATATTTACAGTCTTAATTTTTGATTTTTATATTTACTGCATTTGCAAAAATATATTTTAGTATGAGGGCTCTGTTTTTTTTTTTTATTGCATTTTAGGCTTTGGGGTACATGTGAAGAACATGCAAGATTATTGCATAGGTACACACATGGCAGTGTGATTTCCTGCCTTCCTCCCCATCAGCCTCTAGTATTTTCTAAGCTGTAGTTTTTTTAAAAAATGTTTTTCCAAATGCATTATATTTGGAGAGTTTTTCCTCCAGTATAAATTTTCTGGTGTTGAACAAAGTTTGAGCAACTGCTTCAGGGTTTTCCTCCAGTACAAAATAGTACAATATATCTGTGATACAAGTAAAGGTACTACAACCCTATTCATATTTGTAACGTTTGTCCTCAAAATGAATACTTTGTATTTTTTGAGACAAAGGTTTTTGCTCTTGCAGCCCTGGCTGGAGTGCAGTGGTGTGACCCCAGCTCACTGCAACCTTCGTCTCCCAGGTTTGAGCAGTTCTCCTATCTCAGCCTCCCAAGTAGCTGGGATTACAGGGGCCTGCCACCACACCCAGCTAATTTTTGTATTTTTAGTAGAGACACAGTTTCACTATGTTGGCCAGGCAAGTCTCAAACTCAGGAATTTGAGGTCCTGACCTGATTCTGACCTGAGGCACCCCCTTGGCCTCCCAAAGTGCTGGCATTACATGCATTACATGTGTGCCACACCAGCACACCCAGTTCCTCTTCTTCACTTTAAAGGCTTGTATTTTCTGAAAGATCTAGACAAAAACTGCATTTTTATTAAGTACTAACTCTCTAATGTTGAGTAAGATGTGAGCAGATATTTCTTTGAGATGGAGTCTCACTCTGTTGCCCAGGCTAAAGTGCAGTGGCACGACCTCAGTTAACTGCAACCTCCGTTTCCTGGGTTCAAGCAATTCTCCTGCCTCAGCCTCCTGAGTAGCTGGGACTACAGGCACGCAACACCAAACCCAGCTAATCTTTTTTTCATAGTATAGATGGGGTTTCACCATGTTGGCCAGGATGGTCTCAATTTCTAGACCTCCTGATCTGCCCACTTTGACCACCAACAGTGCTGGGATTAGAGGCAGGAGCCACTGCGCCCAGCTGATGTGAGCAGATATTATTGGCTTTTCCACATTCCTTACATTTGTACAATCTTTCTGAAGTATAAATGTTTTCCTGTGCAATACGGAGCATTCATTAGAAATGCTGCCACATTCTTTACACTTCTAGTTTTCTTCAGTATGGATTATCTTACCTACAATCAACTGTGACAACCATTTAAAGGCTCTGTGAAATTTTTCACATTTCTAGGAATTTGTCACCAGTATGATTTATGTTAGAAAGTTTGAGGTGTTGTCAAAACTATTGTCACATCTTTCAGGTGTTTGACGTTTTCAGTATTATCTTATGTTTATTGAGGTTTGAAGATTGGTTAAATGTTGCCATATTATTCGTATTTTCAGAGCTTCTCTCAAGTATAAATTGTGTCACATGTAGCAAGGTGTGAGGACCACTTAAAGGTACTGCCACATTTTTTACGTTTGCAGGGTTTCTCTCCAATATAAATACTCTTATATGTAGGGTTGAGAACTAGTTAAAGGCTCTGCCACAGACTTCACATTTGTAGGGTTTCTCTCCAATATGAACTTTCCTATCTGCAGTAAAGATTGAGGATAGGTTAAAAGCTTTGCCACATTCTTCACAACTGCAGCGTTTCTCTCCCGTATGTATGGTTAGTAAGGTATGAGGATTGGTTAAAAGCTTTGCCACATTCTTCACAATTGTAGTTTCTCTCCAGTATAAATTATCTTGTGTAGAAAGGTGTAAGGACTGATTAAAGGCATTGCCACATTCTTCTCATTAGTATGGCTTCTCTCCAGGATAAATTACCTTATGTTTAGTAAAAGTTGAAGACCAGTTAAAGGCTTTGCCACAGTTTTTACATTTGTAGGATTCTCTACAGTATGAATTTTCTCACGTTCAGTAAGATTTGAAGGTAAGTTAAAAGCTTTGCCACATTCTTTACATTTGTAGAGTTTCTCACCAGTATAAAAGATCTTCTGTGTAGAAAAGAAGACTGGTTAAAGGCTTTACCACATTATTCATACTTGAAGAGTTTCTCTCCAGTATGAATGTTCTTATGTGCATTAAGTTTTTAGGATGAATTAAAAGTTCTGTCACATTCTTCACATTTGTAGGGCTTCTCTCCAGTATGAATTTCCTTATGCGTAGTAAGGTTTGAGGATAGGTTGAAAGCTTTGCCATAATCTCCACATTTGTAGGGTTTCTCTCCAGTGTGGATTATGTTATGTATAGTAAGAGATGAGAACTGGTTAAAGGATTTGCCACATTCTTCACATTTGTAGGGTTTCTCCGAAGTATGAATTTTCTTATGTGTAGTAAGGTTTGAGGATTGGTTAAAAGCTTTGCCACATTCTTCACATTTATAAGGTTTTTCTCCGGTATGAATTTTCTTATGTGCAGTAAGGGTTGAGGACAGGTTAAAAGCTTTGCCACATTCTTTACATTTGTAAGGTTTCTCTCCAGTATGAATTATCTTATGTCTATTAAGAGTCGAGGAGCAGTTAAAGGCTTTGCCACATTCTGCACATTGGTAAGGTTTCTCTCCAGTATGAATTCTCTTATGTATAGTAAGGTTTGAGAATCGGTTATAAGCCTTTCCACATTCTCCACACTTGTGGGGTTTCTCTCCAGTATAAATTCTCTCATGGTTAGTAATGTTTGAGAATAGGCTAAAAGCTTTTCCATGTTCTTCCAATCTGTAGAGTTTCTCTCCGGTATGAATTATCTTTTGTGTAGTAAGATGTGAGGGCTGGTTAAAGACTTTGCCATATTCTTCACATTTGTAGGGTTTCTCTCCAGTACGAATACTTTTATGTAGAGTAAGGTGTGAGGACTGTTTAAAGGCCTTGCCAAATTCTTCACATTCTTTGAATTTCTCTTTAGTATGAATTATCTTATGTCTACTAAGTTGATAGGACTGATTAAAAGCTTTTCCACATTCTTCACATTTATAGGGTTTTTCTCCAGTATGAATTCTCTTATGTTTAGTAAGAGTTGAGAATCGGTTAAAGGCCTTGCCACATTCTTCGCATTTGTAGGGTTTCTCTCCTGTATGGATTTTCTTATGTTCAGCAAGGTTTGAAGACTGGGTAAAAGCTCTGCCACATTCTTCACATTTGTAGGGTTTCTCTCCAGTATGAAGTTTCTTATGTCTAGTAAGGGTTGAGGATCGATTAAAAGCTTTTCCACACTCTTCACATTTGTATGGTTTCTCTCCAGTATAAATTTTCTTATGGTTAATTAGGTTTGAGGGTTGGCTAAAAGCTTTGCCACATTTTTCACATTTGTAGGATTTCTCTGGAGTATGAATTTTTTTATGTTTAGTAAGGTTTGAAGATTGGTTAAAAGCTTTGCCACATTGTTTACATTTGTAGGGTTTCTCTCCAGTATGAATTATCTTATGAATAATAAGAGTTGAGGACTGGTTAAAGGCTTTGCCACATTCTTCACATTTGTAGGATTTCTCTGCAGTATGAATTTTCTTATGTTTAGTAAGGTTTGAAGATTGGTTAAAAGTTTTGCCACATTCTTCACATTTGTAGAGTTTCTCCCCAGTGTAAATTTTCTCCTGTTTATTAAGGTTTGAGGATATGTTAAAAGTTCTGCCACATTCTTTACATTTGTAGGGTTTCTTTCCAGCATGAATTCTCTTATTGTTAGTAAGATTTGAGAATAGTTTAAAAGTTTTTCCACATTCTTCACATTTGTAGAGGTTCTCTCCACTAGGAAGTATCTTTTGTGTAGTAAGGTGTGAGGACTGACTAAAGACTTTGCCACATTCTTCACATTTGTAAGGTTTCTTTCCAGTATGATTTCTTTTATGTAAAGAAAGGTGTGAGTCCAGTTTAAAGGCTTTGCCACATTCTTCACATCTGTTGGGTTTCTCTTCAGTATGAATTATCTTATGTCTAGAAAGCTGTGAGGACTGGTTAAAGGCTTTTCCACACTCTTCACATTTGTAAGAATTCACTCTAGTATGAATTCTTCTATGCTGAGTTAGTTGTGAAAGCATGCAAAATGATTTGCCACATTCTTTACATTTGAAATGTTTATTTCCAGTATGTCTTTTCTTATGTCTATTTGAATTTGAAAATTTATGGAAGACTTTCACGTATTTATTACACAGAAGTATTTTGCTTGGGGTAGCTGTCAAACATTGGTTAACTCTGCTATAACCTCCTTCGTGCTCCGTACACTCATCCACACTTTTACAGCCTTTTTTAAACTGCAAATTCTCATGCCCACATTTTCCACATCTTCTCAGTGTCACATTTTGGAAAGAATCTTTCATGTTCTGCTCTGACCAAAGGTCTTGGGCAAAATGAAAACACATAACTAAAAGAAATTAAAATAAGAAATTACTCCACTTGCTAGACACAGATGAATATACTTTACAAATCTGATATATAAAATTATACAAACTACATAAGATTGCATAGCAAAATGCCACAGACTCCAATTTCTTCACAGACATATAACTAAAACATACTGACCAAAATAAATTTGTGAAAACTTATAAATAAGTTCAGTGTGTACAGGGCCCCAGGGGAGCACAACGTGAGAGCCACATAGAAGAAAAAGACAAGTCTGTTTTATTTACCCAACAAAGCTCTTACTGTTCCCCAGTAGATAACATAGTGCCTTTAGAAGTAAATCGCCAACTCCTGGTTTCATTTTTAAAAGACAAGAAAAATAACAACAAACACATACACATCTTCGTTTCTGGGTTCTATGTCCCTTTACAGACATTGGTTTCTGTCTCCCATGACATAAAGGGCTGAAAGAAATGGTGGTGGACTTTGGAATGACATTTTGAGTCTGCTGAAGTCAAAGGTAAATGTTACTGCAGTAGAAAACAGTTGTAGCAAGTGATTACTGACCATTCAGAAGAAACAAGAACAAACTCTTTTAACTAAAAAAAAAAAGCCTAGAAAATCTTAGAAAAGACACATCAAACAAACATGTGTGAAAGACTCTCAGAATCACTAGTTAAGACAAATGGCTTCAGACTATGCCAGGACAAAGCTACATTATAAAGATGGTGACAGGCCGGGCACGGTGGCTCAAGCCTGTAATCCCAGCACTTTGGGAGGCTGAGGCGGGTGGATAACGAGGTCAAGAGATCGAGACCATCTTGGTCAACATGGTGAAACCCTGTCTCTACTAAAAATACAAAAAATTAGCTGGGCATGGTGGCGCGTGCCTGTAATCCCAGCTACTCAGGAGGCTGAGGCAGGAGAATTGCCTGAACCCAGGAGGCAGAGGTTGCGGTGAGCCGAGATCGCGCCATTGCACTCCAGCCTGGGTAACAAGAGCGAAACTCCGTCTCAAAAAAAAAAAAGATTACAATGTATACAAAATATTAGGGCAATAGAGCCCATCAGAAATTATAAAAATTTCAGAAAGCAACCATTAAAAAATAAAAATATACAAATTAATTTAAAAAATTTAAAATAAATTGAATAAAACATGAGTGAATAGGAACAGAGAACTACTGAAAATCAGAAAAATGAGGATAACAACAAAAAAAAGCAGAAACCAGAAACTGTGGAGGTAAAAATACAAAAAAAATTAAAAATTTAAAAGAAAAATTAATGGAAAATAAAGACACTCAACAACTCCAAACACACAAAGGTATTTATAAGAAACACACATATCAGCAAAATTTCAAAACTCACAGACAAGAGAATCTTGGGAACTGCAAGATGAAAGTGATGTGTGATTTATAATAATAGTCTTAGGAGATAGCCAGTGAATATGTCAAGAAAATTTCACAGGCGAGAAAGGAACTGTGATATAGTCAAAGTCCTGAAAACAATAGATGTAAACTGAGAATAATATCAACAACTGTCCTGCCAAATACCTTCCAAGTAAAACACCTTCCAAAATAACAAAATTTGGCCATGTGCCATGGCTCACGTCTGGAATCACAGCACACTGGGAGACCAAGGTGAGTGGATCACCTGAGGTCAGGAGTTCCAGACCAGCCCGATCAACATGGTGTAACCCCATCTGTACTAAAAACACAAAAAATAATTAGCGAGGCGTGGTGGTGCACTCCCGTAATCCCAGCTACTTGGGAAGCCGAGGCAGAAGAATCACTTGAGCCTGGGAGATGGAGGTTACAGTGAGCCAAGATCGTGCCACTGCACTCCAGCCTGGGCAACAAGAATGAAACTCCATCTTAAAATAAATAAATAAATGGGAAAATTATGAAAATATATTTTGACGCTGCCTATGCCCTACATATCAAAGATGCTGAAAGGAGTTCCTTCCACTGAAAATGACATGACACAAGAAAATAACACATAATCATATGAAAATACATAACTTTCTGGGAAAGATATGTGCATACACAAAAATATGATTTTGTAGCATTATCATAATGGGGCAGAAAGTATTTTTAATTATTCTCTGACATGTGAAAGATAAAAGCATACAAATTATAATAAACATCTGCTAATGAATATGTAACATATAAAGATATAATTAGCAACCTCAATGACAAGGTTGAGGGCAACTGTATGAATAAGAATTTTTGTATGCAAATAAAGTTGATTTTTAACTAGATTACAATATACTGTTTTATCCTGTAGAGGTTTTATGCGATCCCCAAGGAACCACAAAGAATATATTTGTGTAGATTCACAAAATAAAATAAGAGAGAAATAAAAGCATATAAATACAAAAATCAAAAAGACACAAAGGAAGAAAGAGAGAAAAGGGACTAAGAGACAAGAATCAAATTAAAAGATTAATAAAATAATGTTAGCAAGTCTTTCTGTTTCAGAAAAATATATAGAAAGTTAACTTTACTTAAATATCTATATAATAAATCAAGAGACATACTTTTGGCCAGGCATAGTGGCTCATGCCTTTAATCCCAGCACTTTGGGAGGCTGAAGCAGGTGGAACACCTGAGATCAGGAGTTCGAGACCAGCCCGACCAACATGGTGAAATCCCATCTCTACTGAAAATACAAAAATTACCTGGGCATGGTGGTGGGTGCCTGTAATCACAGGTACTCAGAAGGCTAAGGCAGGAGAATTGCTTGAACCCGGGAGGTGGAGGTTGCAGTGAGCTGAGATTGCAACACTGCACTCCAGCCTGGGTAACAAGAGCAAAACTCTTTCTCCAAAAAAAAAAGACATACTTTCAATAATGGAATTAATTAAAAATTTTTGAAAACCAAGATCCAACTTGACTTTCTACAAGGGTAAGCTGAGATCTAATTATAAAACAAGACTGAAAGTGGCACGATGGATCTATACATTCTACACAAATATTAACAAAATGAGAACAGAAGATGTCTAAAAAATTACACAAGGTACATTTTAAGTCAAAAACTGTTCTATTTTATAAAATATACCTTAGGTCAAAACTCCAAAGAGAAACATTAAACAGTAATAGATTCAGTTACTAAGAACCTGTGACAAATTTGTATATACATGTGTGTTATATGTGTGTGTGTATCTCACACTGTGGTTCCAAATACAGAAAGCAAACACTGACAGAATAACAGAAATGAAACACATAGAGAATATAATTATAGTAGGATATTTCAATACCAGACTTTCTATAATAAAGATAAAACAAGATAGAATATGAGGGAAGAGAGCACTTGAAGGCAGTAAAAAACAAACATATTTAACAAAAATATAGAGAACACTTCTCAACATTAGGATACACACACTTTTCAATAGCTATACAACAATCTCCTTCAGAGACCACCTGGTAGGCCAGATAATAAGTCTTAACAAATTTTATAAAACTGAATTTTTTTTTTTTTTTTTGAGATGGAGTTTCGCTCTTGTTACGCAGGCTGGAGTACAAAGGTGCGATCTCGGCTGACGGCAACCTCTGCCTCCTGGGTTCAAGCAATTCTCCTGCCTCAGCCTCCCAAGTGGCTGGGACTATAGGCACGCACCACCATGCCCAGCTAATTTTTGTATTTTTAGTAGAGACGGGGTTTCACCATGTTGACCAGGATAGTCTCGATCTCTTGACCTCATGATCCACCTGCCTCGGCCTCCCAAAGTGCTGGAATAATAGGCATGAGCCACTAAGCCTAGCCGAAAACTGAATTTTTATGGTTACTTTCTCTAACAAAAATGAAATAATATAAAACAATAGAAAAAAACTTAAAAATTTACAAATATGTAGAAATTAACACACTCTGGAGCATGCTCTTGTTCAAACATTGAAATAATACTGTGAAGATGGCCGTACTGCTTAATCTACTAATTCAATGCAATGCCAAATTCACTGCATTTCTGAAGAAACACAAACCACAAAAGTATATAAAATCTCAAAAGACAATAAAGTACACAATTTTCAAAAAAAGAAAAAGAAAAAAGTAATGTTAAAGGCATTACAGTTCTTGATTTGAAAACACATTACAAAGCCACAGAATTAAATAACTGGCATGAGTATAAAGGTAAAAAGTCGGCTAATAAAGTAGAATGCAGTACATATATAAACTTTCACATATTTGACCGTAAGAAGAGTACTTTGCCAACATCACTGAGAGCACATAAGTAAAAACAATGCAAACTTCTGTCACCAAACCATTCAGTTGATATAATGTGAAATACAGAAATACTGGAATATCACCTAAAATTTAAAAAGCAGGAAATATTCTAACAACTATAAAGCTAGAAGACATTATGCGAAATGAAATGAGCCAGCCACAAAAAGAGATTGTAAGAGACATACAAAGCAGATACATAAAACACTCCCAGAAACAGAAAACAGAGTGGTGTTTAAAAAGTCTGACAAAATGGGAAAAACTGGTAGCTGTTTAATATGTACTGAGATTTAGCTTTGCAAAATAAAAACATTCTAGGGATATGTTGTATAACACATCAATATAATCAAGATGACTAAATTGAATATTTAAGAATACTTGATTGTCAGCCAGGTTTGGTGGCTAATGCCTATAATCCCAGCACTTTGGGAGGCCGAGGCAGACAGATCACCTGAGGTCAGCAGTTCAAGACCAGCCTGGTCAACATGGCAGAACCCTGTCTCTACTAAAAATACAAAAATTAGCTGGATGTGGTGGCAGTCACCTGTTACCTCAGCTACTTAGGAAGCTGAGGAAGGGAGCAACGCTTCAATCTGGGAGGCTGAGGTTGCAGTGAGCCGAGATCACGCCATTGCACTTCAGCCTGGGTTGACAGAGCAAGACTGTCTCAAAAAATAAGGAAAAATACTTAATTGTAAATTGTTACATTTTTTTGACAAGTAAAAATAAACAATAATACCTTAAAAAGATAGAGTTATGACAGTTTTTAAATTATCTTTCAATCCAAACATTTTTCTCTCACATAAA